GGTACTGACATTGGAGGGAGCGCGTTCCAATGTCCCTGGCCTGAAAATTATCCAGAAGGGCGGGTAAGAAACAAGGGGGCACCCCCCCTGAAAAAAACACCGGACAACTCGCCCCTTGGCCCCTGGCCAGTCTCACGCCAAGGGGCGAGCACATTTTCGGACGCAGCACCGCGCTGGATGTGTGGCCATTGCCGGGCCTATCAAGAGAGAAACCCCATACTCCATGGCACGGCGTATGGGTGCCGGCGCCGAGCGCAAGGCCACTCCCCTCCTCCCACCTTCTCCTCCCTCCGCCTCCTCATCCGTCCATCTCCACCTCCACCCTTCCTGGTCATCCGTCATCCTCGCCCTCCTCCCTCGCCCTCCATCCCCCACTTCCTAAAACTGCCGGCGAAATATCCTCCTCCCCGTGGTCCCAAACTGCCAGCAGAATCCGCCGACCCTGTGTCGGCGTGTGTGAGGGGCTTGTCCGTTACCGACGTTCTTTCGTCGTCGTCTCCATCGTCTCCTGTCCCTGCGCCCACCCTTGCCCTGGGCCAGTCGTCTCCTGTCTCTGCGCTCCCCCTTTCCCTGGGCCCATCTCCCCTCCTCTCCTTTCCCCCTCTTCCCTGGGCCCGTCGCCGCTGCCCGCTTTTCCAGGGCCTCTCCCTCAAGAGCAACATTGTCATTGAGTCGAAGGGAAGCCCCTTCCCTTTGATCCCTTCCCTGCCGGGGGGGGGGTCCCAGGGGGGGGTCCCAGAGGGGGTCCCGCGTCAAATACGACTCCCCCCCTGGGGGTCCTGGGGCCCACACAAAGCCTCAGATTGGCCAAGAGCCGAGGCATTCTACCACGCCCTCTCCTCCCTCCCCCCTCCTCCCTCCATCCTCATCTCTCCTCTTTCCTCCGTCCCCCTCCAGAACCGAACCGGCCTCCTGGATGCTCGGCAACGGGACACTCCAGGACCCAGAATTCCGAGGTCCCCGGGACCCTCCAGGACCCAGCCCCGAGGACCTCCTCCCAGGACCCAGCACCAGGAACCAGCCCCCCAAGAAGTCCAGGGCTCCCAGGCCGCAGGCCCTGCTCGCATCGTCCTGCTCCTATTAATTTCCCCCCTCTCCTCCGCCTCCTCCTCCTCCCTCCTCCTCCTCCTCCTCCTCCTCCTCTTCTTCTTCTTTTTCTTATTATTATTATTGTTACTATTATTATTGTTATTATTATTAGTATTATTATTATTATTAGTAGTATTATTAGTAGTAGTAGTAGTATTATTATTTTTATTATTATTATTGTTATTCTTCTTATGATTATTAGTAGTATGATTCTTATTATTTTTCTTATGAATATGATTCTTATTAGTAGACTTATTCTTATTATTAGTATTCTCATTAGTATTATTATTATTCTTATTCATATTATTCTTAATATTCTTTTCTTACCATTAGCATGCTTAATATTATTCGTATCAGTATCATTAGTAGTATTATTCTTGTTCGTATTACTTCGGGGGTACTAAAGTTTTTGACCATAAGATGAGAATTGCCTAGCTGGTCACGCGTGCCGCGGAAGACCGATCAGGATGCAAAGGTGCCTTGATGTGGATTCGCGAGCCTTTGCGGGCCCTCTGGGACGGCCAACCAGTGAACCGAGAGGGACCGCATTGGAGAAGGATGCCCAGGGTCTCACAGCATCAATGCAACAAGGAATACAATGAAACATCGCGTTGGCATGATAAGGACAGGGTCGACGGGGATGATGACACGGACGATCAAACGTGACCCAAGCGGAGTGGTTTACTGTGAATGGGTTCAAGTCGGAGTGTTTTCCGGCCCTATTGCACATGGGACGGAGTAATTATCACCCTGTTTTAAATATACATTATTATATTCTTACAGGGTGAGAGCCCATCGGAGTCGAACCGCCGCCCGACCCAAAACATGTCGCTAAGATTCTACGGGGGGGCAGGGGGCGTCGACAGCATGACGTCTTATGGTCAAAACTATAGTACCCCCCGTGCGGACTTTTCTCACCTGCGCGGCCAACGGCCAGGGCCCGAGAACCACCGTGATGGAGATGACGATGATGATTGGCGGCGGCGAGAACCCATTTTGCCCTGCGGACTTTTCTCACCTGCGCGGCCAACGGCCAGGGCCCGAGAACCACCGTGATGGAGATGACGATGATGATTGGCGGCGGCGAGAACCCATTTTGCCCTGCGGACTTTTCTCACCTGCGCGGCCAACGGCCAGGGCCCGAGAACCACCGTGATGGAGATGACGATGATGATTGGCGGCGGCGAGAACCCATTTTGCCCTGCGGACTTTTCTCACCTGCGCGGCCAACGGCCAGGGCCCGAGAACCACCGTGATGGAGATGACGATGATGATTGGCGGCGGCGAGAACCCATTTTGCCCTTCGGGGGTACTAAAGTTTTTGACCATAAGATGAGAATTGCCTAGCTGGTCACGCGTGCCGCGGAGGACCGATCAGGATGCAAAGGTGCCTTGATGTGGATTCGCGAGCCTTTGCGGGCCCTCTGGGACGGCCAACCAGTGAACCGAGAGGGACCGCATTGGAGAAGGATGCCCAGGGTCTCACAGCATCAATGCAACAAGGAATACAATGAAACATCGCGTTGGCATGATAAGGACAGGGTCGATGGGGATGATGACACGGACGATCAAACGTGACCCAAGCGGAGTGGTTTACTGTGAATGGGTTCAAGTCGGAGTGTTTTCCGGCCCTATTGTAAATGGGACGGAGTAATTATCACCCTGTTTTAAATATATATATATATATTATTATATTCTTACAGGGTGAGAGCCCATCGGAGTCGAACCGCCGCCCGACCCAAAACATGTCGCTAAGATTCTACGGGGGGGCAGGGGGCGTCGACAGCATGACGTCTTATGGTCAAAACTATAGTACCCCCCGTGGATTAATCTTATTATTCATGTTATTATTCTTAGTAGTGTCGTGTTAGTCGTATTAGTCTTATTATTCGTCTTAGTATTTTCCTTATTGTTCTTAGTATTAATAGTGTTATTATTATTCGTCTTATTAATCTTAGTATGAGTATTGTTAGTATTCTCTTTATTAGTATTGTTCTTCTTAGTTTTGTTAGTCTTATTCGTCTTCTGATTAGTCGTCTTCTTCGTCTTATGTTTCGTCTTCTTATTATTCTTAGTATTAGTATTCGTCTTCGTCGTCTTAGTATTAATCGTGTTATTCTTATTCGTATGATTCTTCTTATTATTCATAGTATTAAATATTATTATGATCCTTAGTATTTTTATTCTTAATAGTCTCATTATTATTAGTATGGTTATTAGTATTATTATTCTTATTATTTGTCTCAATCTTCTTCTTAGTATTATTAATATTGTTATTCTTCCTCCTCCTCCTCCTCCTCCTCCTCCTCCTCCTCCTCCTCCTCCTCCTCCTCCTCCTCCCCCTCCTCCTCCACCTCCTCCTCCTCTGTTCCCCTCCTCCTCCTCCTCCTCCTCCTCCTCCTCCTCCTCCTCCTCCTCCTCCTGCTCCCTGACGTCCTCCGCCTCCTGCTCCTCAGCGTCCTTGTCCTGCTCGTACTCGCCGTCTACAGGGTCGGCGGCACTCGTCGTAAGGCCTTCTCAATATCCGCACCCATAAAGATAAACTTGCCAGCGAAATATCCTCAGTCCCCTGGCCTAAAGCTACCAGCGATTTATCCTATCCCCCCCTGACGTAGAACTACCAGCGAAATATCCACAGCCAAAGGAAATAAAACTGCCATCGAAATATCCTCAACGCCCTGGCCGAAAACGCCAGCGGAATATCCTCAGCCCCCTGGCCTACAACAATCAGCGAAATATCCTCAACCCCCCGGCCTAAAACTGCCAGTGAAATGTCCTCACGCCCCTGACGTAAAATTGCAAGCGTAACATCAGAACTCCCCTGGCATGAAACTGCCAGCGAAACATCCTCACCCCCCTGGCCTAAAACTGTCAGCGGAACATTTTAACCCCCCTGGCCTAACACATATGTACTACCGTCGAAATGTCCTCACCCCCTGGACTACAACTGCCAGCGGAATATCCTCACACACCCGGCCTAAAACTGCCAGCGAAATGTCCTTACCCCTGGCCTAAAATTGCCAGTGAAATATCATCAGCCTTCCAGCATAAGATTGCTAGTGAAATACCCCCACCAAGCGGATTAAAACTGCCATCGAACTGTCCTCACCCCCCTGGCCTAAAACTGCAAGCGGAATATCCTCACCCCCTGGCCTTAAAGCGCCAGCGAAATATTCTCAAGCCCCTGGCCTAAAACTGCCAGCGAATGTTCCTCACGCCCCGGGCCTGAAACTGCAAGCGAAATATCATAACTCCTCTTGCGTAAAGTTCCAAGCCAAGATCAGACCCCCCTTGCGCAAAGCTGCCATCGAAATATGCTCAGCCTTCTGGCCTAACACTTCCGTCGAAATATGATATTGACACTGACCCAAAACTGCCAGCGAAAAATCCAAACACACACACACACACACAAACCCTGCCATGAAACTGCCAGCGAAATATCTTGAACATTAAAAGCCAAATATCCTCATCCCCCTGTCGTAAAAGTGTAAACGACATATCCTCAGCCCCCTGGCCTAGAGCTGCCCGCAAAATATCCTCACCCCCCTGGCATCCAGCCAAATATCCTCACCCCCCGTGGCCTAAAACTGCCAGCGAAATAGCCTCATCCACCGGAGATAAAACTGCCATCGAAACATCCTCCCCCCCCTGGCCTCAGAATGCCAGCGAAATATCTTGACCCCCTGGTCTAAAAGTGCCAGCGAAATATCGTCAAGCCCCTCGCCTAAAACAGCCAGCGAAAAGGTCCTCAAGCCACTGGCCTAAAACTGCCAGCGGAATATCCTGGCTCCTGCTGCTGCCGCTCCCCAAATCTCCCATCCACGCCCCCCCCCCCGCCCCGGCGGGAGCGCTTCTTCACCAGGCCGATGGTCGAGAAGCTTGGGTCCAGCAGCACTGGGCCGTCTGCCTTCTCTCGTCGTCGTCGTCGCCGCCGCCGCCGCCGCCGCCCGTCCGTCCGTCCGACCGTTCGCCGCCGCCGCCGTCGCCACTGCCGCCGCTGTCGCCGCCGCCGTCGTCGTCGTCGTCGACGTCGTCGTCGTCCGTCATGCGCAACCATCGTCGTCGCCGCCGCCGTCGTCATCGCCGTTGTCGTCTTCGACGTCGTCGTCCTCTTCGAGACCTGAGGATCGAAGATCGACTTGTTGACGATTCTGGACTACCCTGGACCTCCAGGAGATTACGGGCGTACGAGAGCCTCAGGAGACCTTCTGGGGATCTTTGCGCGTGTTCACCAAACTTATCCTCCTCCTCCTCCTTTTCATCCCCCGCCACTCCGCATTACTTGGCGGCGACGGCCGCCTTAGTTCAGGCATGCCACGCTGAACGGCACAGCTCGCACTGGTCCGCCATTCCTCCTCCGACCTCCTCCTCCTCCTCCTCCTGCTCCTCCTCCTCCTCCTCCGCGCTACGTCTCAAGCCATTTCGGCTCTGGCCCATTTTGGCACGCCAAACCTGCCCCAATATCTTCACGAGGTGTTTGACGGACTTCTGTGCACCTGCACAGCACAGCAGGCTTTACGGACGACCAAAGCTGGGGCTCATGGGGCAACAAGGCCAGCGCCAGCGCCAGCCCAGCGTGCAGCGACAGCCCACCACCAGGCTGCGGAGCAGATGCCGTGGTTCCCATGCCTGCGAGTACAATGACTTGCTCGACCCGTTCAGGCCAGTCTGCTCAAGGTCTAACAGGTCGATTGAGTTGCACCGCGCTCAGTCACGGTCTCCGCGCGTCACTGTCGGTCGGGAGGAGGTCATCGATGCGCTCGCCGCTGCCAACGACTTCTGGCACCACGCTCTCCGACCTGCTCTCGGTGCACTTGAAGCAGGCCCATGCGGTGGCCAAAGATACCGACGTGCAGGCCATCCCCAGTGCCCAAGTCCAGCGGCTCGCCGTCACCAGCTCGGAAGAGGCGCGCGTCACTGAGGTCAAGGCTGTGCGCAAGGCGGACAGCTCCTGGCGAGCAGCGGTGAACCACCACAACCAGGTTGTCGGCAACGTGCTCCGTCTCCGCAAGGCCCTCGAGGTTGCCAAGGAGCAGGAGAAGCTCGCCGCGCTCGAGGTGGCCAAGACCGAGGGCATCAAGCGCAAGGCTGCCGAGGCCCCCGCCAGGGTCTAAGGCGTGGGCGCGCCTACCAACCCTGCTCAGGCTGCGGAGGCGAAGGCTTCGACTCCCTTCACCGTCACCTGGGACCCCGAGCTCTTCAGCCACCCAGAGGACCTGCACTTCGCCGATGGCGAGCAGGCCGAACTCGATGCGGTGCCCAAGGGCTTGGAGGAGTGCCGGCAGCGCTTCGATACCAGGGGGCCGCAGGCTCGGACCCTCGTCGAGGCTCTAAGTGCGCGCTGCACAGGAGGCCCGCCACCAGAAGACGAGGAAGGGCGAGGATCACCTCCTCCTCCTCCTCCTCCTCCTCCTCCTCCTCCTCCTCCGCATACGTAATCTTCCCCATTCTCCTGGTCCTCCTCCTCCCCCTCCTCCTCCTCCTCCTCCTCCCCCTCCTCCCTCCTCCTCCTCCTCCTCCTCCTCCCCCTCCCCCTCCCCCTCCTCCTCCTCCTCTCCTCCTCCTCCTCCTCCCTCCTCCTCCTCCTCCTCCTCCTCCCCTCCTCCTCCTCCTCCTCCCTCCTCCCTCCTCCTCCTCCTCCTCCTCCCTCCTCCTCCTCCTCCTCCTCCACGGCAGGCGGCAGCCAGGCCAGCGGCGCCAACGGCGCCAGCGGCGCCAGCGGCGCGGCCAACGGCCCTGCCGCAGCCCAGGCCGCGGCTGGCTCGGGCGGCCGCAGCGGCCGCAGCGCCCGCCCAGGACGAGGCCGTGGCGCTGCAGGCCGAGGCCAGCCGCCTCTCCGCCGCCAGGTTCGCAGCGCAGGCCGCCCAGAACACCGGCGAGGACGCCGACAGTGGCCAGCCTGGCACGGGGCGCCCCTCGCCGCCAGCCAAGGGCGGAGGCAAGGCGGCCGCGCAGCCTGCCTCGCGTTAGCTATCCGTGGATGCGCCGAATACCACGGGCGAAGGTGGCACGATCGTCGAGACGGCGGCCCCCAGTTGCCCTGCTTCCACAGCCTCTACCACGCTGCTCCACAGCAACATCACCTGCAGGGGAGACAAGGCCTTCGAATGGGTCACCGCCAGCAGCGACGGCTACATGGGCTCATCGAGACGCACGTCGATCCCGCTGACATCAGCAGCTGGCGCAGTCGTCTCGGGGGCCACAGTCGCAAGCTCCTAGCCAACGCCGCTCGGCCATCACAGAGCGCACAAGCTGCAGGGTGGAGTGAATCTCAAGGTGAATCAGGCTCCGCAGCTGGCCACGCTAATGAAGGAGGCGAATGGTTATCACCTAGGGACCATCTCACGGCTCATGCTTTGCACGAGGGAACTCAAGCCGAGGGGCTCCAAGCTCTGCCAGGCAGCTCCAGCCTCGACGGGTTCCTTCCTGTAGTTATCTATCAGCGCGGCTACCCTGTCGCTTCTACCCCCTCAGGTGAGGGGGGCAACGATAGGGGGACTGGCATAGGGGGGATGCATCGACCTGGAATCGGCGATACATCGCCGATAGATCGGTGATAGGTCCCCGATAGTGAATCCGCACCTTCTTGGGCGGGTTGGGGTTATCAGACCCCTATCGGCGATCAATGGGCGATTGGGGGTCGATGCATCCCCCCCTTTGCCTATCCCCCCCTATCGTTGCACCTGATCAGATCCCTTCAGCTCCCTTGGGCCGTTGTCGGGGACTGGACTGTCTCGCCTGGCACACTCGAGGCCTCTGGAGTCCTCGCCCCAGTTCAGGACGACACGCTGTGCGCCCAAGTAGCAGTATAGTGAACACTCGATGCTCATCGGGGTTCCACCCGCTTCAGAACTCAGCGTGTCTTCGCTCCTCCCCATCCTCACCATCATCATCATCATCATCATCATCATCATCATCATCAGCATCATCATCATCATCATCAGCATGATCACCATCATCATCATCATCATCATCATCATCATCATCATCATCATCATCATCATCATCATCATCATCACCATCATCAGACTGCATCAGCGTCCTCATCCTCATCCTCATCCTCAGTACCATCATCGTCGTCGAAAGCGTCATCGTTATCACCATCACCAGCAGCACCATCCTCATCATCCTCATCGTCATCAGCAGCATCATCATCACGATCAGCATCATCATCAGCAGCAGCATCACCGCCGCCATCAGATGTACTCACACCATCGTCATCATAATCAGAATCAGCATCATCACCATCATCATACTCAGTGTCATCACCATCATCAGCAGCAGCATCATCAGCATCATCGTCATCAGCATCAGCATCAGCATCAGCATCAGCATCATCATGCAACAGCAGCAGCGTCATGACCAGCATCAGCATCATCAACACCATCACCAGCAGCATCGTCGTGATCCGCATCGACATCAGCAACATCCAGATTATCATCATCGTCGTCTCCATCGTCGTCGTTATCGTCATCATCGACAGTGTCATCACACTCGTCACCGCCTACCAGCAGCATCAGCATTACTACCATCCTCACCATCATCATCAACATCATCATCATCAGCAGCATCAGCATCAGCGTTAGCATCATCGCAAGCGTCACCTTCATTACCATCATCAGCACCATCCTCGCCATCACCATCGTCGACATCAGCATAGTCATCATTATCAGCTGCACCACCAGCATCAGCAACAGCAACAGCAACAGCCTCACCAGCATCGTGAGTGGTATCGACATGACCATCATCATCATCACCATCATCAGCAGCAGCATCGTCCGCATCATCATGATCGTCATCACCAGCATCGGCATCATCATCATCAGCATCATCATCATCCTCATCATCATCCTCAGCATCATCAACATCAGGGCCATCATCATCCCCATAATCAGCATCAGCGTGATCGTGATCCATATCATTATCATCATTATCACCATCGCCATCGCCATCGTCATCGTCAGCATCATCACCACCACCTGCACAACCACCACCACAATCAGCATCATCATCAGCGTCGTCACCATCATCATCATCACAATCATCATCATCAGCCGCAGCATCATCATCGTCGTCAGCATCATCAGCATCGGCATCGCCATCATCAGCGTCATCATCATCATACTCATCATCGTAATCATCGTGAGCATTATCAGCATCATCATCAGCATCACCATCATCATAATCATCATCAGCATCGGCATCATCAACATGCCTATCAGCATCAGCGTCAGCATCATGACCAGCATCTTCATCATCACCATCATCAGATCATCCAAATCATCATCATACTTATCTTTCTCAGCATCAGCATCAACATCATCATCTGCATCGTCATCGTCGTCGTAATCGGCCTCGTCCTCCTCATAACCATCAGCATCATCATCACCACCACCAGCACCACCGCCACCATCACCATCATCATCATCATCATCATCATCATCATCATCATCATTGGCATCGTCGTCATCATCCCAATCCACCAGCATCTGCACCATCAGCAGCATTATCGCCATCCGCATCAGCATCAGCATCAGCGCCAGCATGTTCATCATCGCCAGCGGCGTCATATCGTCAAGATCATCATCGGCATCATTGTCAGCAGCATCATCATCAGCAGCAGCAGGATCATCATCATCATCATCATCATCATCATCATCATCATAATGTTCCTCCTCCTCAACATCATCATCAGCATCCTCATCGTCGTCGTCGGAGAGGTCTCTTCATCACCACCAGCATCATGTTCCTCCTCATCAGCATCCCTGATCCTCCTTTCTCCGTAGTCATTGTGACTGGGATGCCTTGTCGTTGCTGCTGCATCGTTGCTGCGCGCTTGTTTTGCTCGCGCCCCTCCTCCTCCTCCTCCTCCTCCTCCTCCTCCTCATCCTCCTCCTCCTCCTCGTCCTCCTCCTCCTCCTACTCCTTCTCCTCCTCCTCATTCTCTCTTCACCTCCTCGTCCGTCTCTCCCGTTCCTTCCCTACGGCGGGTGCGCGCGCGTCTGACAGGGGGGGGGGATCACACAACACCCTGGCCGTCTGCGGGTTCTTTCCCTGCTCCCTCGCCCCCTCCTTTCCTCCCTCCTCCCTGCCTCCGCCTTCTCCCCCCTCCTCGTCAGGGCCTGCGCGTCTACGGTATCCAGGCAGTGCGCTGGCCCTCCCTCTGGACGGCGATGGCGGAAGTCCAGGAGGAGGAGGAGGAGAAGATGGCGCGATGGAGGGGAAGCAGGACGAGGAGGAGGAGGAGGAGGAGGAGGAGGAGGAGGAGGAGGAGGGGGGCGAGGACGAGGACGAGGAGGACGGAGAGGGATGGGTCGAGGAGGGGGATGGGGAGAGGAGGAAAAGAAGGAGGGAGAGGGAACGTGCGAGAAGGAGGACGGGGAGGAGGAGGTGAATGGGACGAGGAGGGTGGGGAAGAGGGACGAGGAGGAAGAAGAGGATGAGGAGGCGAGGGAACATGAGGAGGTGGAGGAGGACAAGCACGAGGAGGACGAGCACGAGGAGGAGGAGCACGAGGAGGAGGACGACGAGGTCCCCTCCCCCCGGGCAACCTTCTTGGCCACGTGCTTCACGGCCGCGGGCGGGAGCTCGCCGGGCTTCACCCTGGACCTCGGGAGGAGGACGAGGAGGACGAGGAGCGCGAGAAGAACGGTGAGCAAGACATGGAGAACAAGCACCACGGCGACGGCGACGACGACGACGACCACGACGACGACGACGACGACGACCACGACAATAACAACGACGACGACGACGACGACCACGACGAGGACGACGACCACCACGACGACGACGACGACGACGGCGACGACGGTGACGACGGCGATGACGACGACGGACGACGGACGACGGACGACAGAGGACGGACGACGGTCGACGGACGACGGACGAAGGACGACGAGGAGGAGGAGGACGAGGAGAACGGCGAGAGGGGCGAGGAGGAGCGATGAGGATGATGAGGACGAGGAAAACCACGACGACAGGTCGACGACGACGACGACCACGATGACGACAACGACGACGACGACGAGGCCGACGCCGACGCCGACGCCAGCACCGCAGCCGCCAAGGAGATAGAGGAGGAGGAGGAGGAGGAGGAGGAGGAGGAGGAGGAGGACCAGCGTAAAGCCAAGAGTCATCAACGATGTTGGAATGCAACCTCCCTCCAAGCTCCCTCTTCATAGGCCTCTACAACGATTCATTTTCACTGAGGGAAATGTCGCGTTGGAAGACAATGGTTGGACGACGCTGAAACATGCCAAAATATTGTTCTGGGGATTCCCAACGCCACGGATCAACCTGACTGTTCCGTCTAGGCGATCCTGAATCGTGCCAGGACTGTTATTCCTGGGACTTCAACGACGCGAACCAACGCAACTGTTGCACCCTCATAATCCTGAATCCTTCTAAAAACCTTTTATGGTACGGTGGTAACGGGAGTCTGTGAAACTCTCGTGTTGAAAACGAAAATGCGCGGCGCTAAGGCGAGAGCCACATGTTGAAAAGGAACCGCCATCAATCCGTGAAACTCTTGCAAACCTTTAAAATGAATGTGCGCGGCGCTTAAACGAGAACCATACTTTGAAAGCGGCCCACCCTCAATCCGTGAAACTCTTGAAAATGTTTAAAACGAATGCGCGCGGCGCTAAGGCGAAAACCACATTTGAAAACGACTTGCCCTCCATCCGTAAAACTCTTGCACATAGTTAAAACGAATGTACGAGGCGCTAAGGGGAGAGCCTCACTTTGAAAACCACCCGCCCTCCAACTGTGAAACTGTTGCGAAGTTTTCGCTAAAGGAAAATAATGTGTGAAGAAGTCTCAGGCGAAACGCCCGGCCCGCCCTCAAAACTGGCCTCGGGGTGCCACAGGGAGAAATTATGTATAAGGAAATGGAATGGAGCAGGAGGAGGAAGGCCAAGGAGGACGAGAAGCGAGGACGAGGAGGAGGAGGAGGAGAGGCATGAGAGGCATGAGTGAGGAGGGAAGGAGTACAACGATGAGGATGGTAGTGGGGAGGATGCGAAGAAGGAGGACGACGACGACAACGGCGATGAAGGCGACGAGGACGAGAAGCGAGATGAAGGAGACCGACGAGAATGGCTAGAAACGAGAGGGTCACAAACGGGAGCATGCCCTATGACCGCACAAAGCCCGGAACGACGACGCGGACGAGAACGACGAAGATGAGAACAAGGAGGAAGGCGGCGAGGAGGACGGCGACGACGACGACGAGGAGGACGACAACGACGACGACGACGGCGGCGGCGTTGATGACGACCGACGAGGACGACAACGGTGAGGACAACGACGACGTCAACGAGGGTGATGACGACGGCGACCTCGAGAGGCTGCGGACACGAGCGCTCATCCCTCCGCTGGCCCCTCGGCCTGTGGCAGGCTGGGCCAGGTTGCTCGAGCCATAGAGAAGCTGCGGAGAACTCCTCTTCCTTCCCCATCCTTCCCCTCCTCCTCCTCCTCCTCCTCCTCCTCCTCCTCCTCCACCTCCACCTCCTCCTCCTCCTTCTCCTCCTCCTCCTCCTCCTCCTCCAACTCCTCCTCCTCCTCCTTCTCCTCCTCCTCCTCCTCCTCCTCCTCCTCCTCCTCCTCCTCCTCCTCCTCCCTCTCCTCCTCCTCCTCCTCCTCTCCTCCTCCTCCTCCTCCTCCTCTTCCTCCTCCTCCTCCTTCTCCTCCTCCTCCACTTCCCCTCCCTCATGATCATCCTCTGCGTCCTCCTCCTCCTGCTCCTCCTCCTCCTTTTCCGCCTCCTTCTCCCCCTCCTCCGCCTCCTCCCCATCATCCTTCTCCTCCCCTCCTCCGTCCTCCCCCTCCGTGCCTCTGTCCTCCTCGACGCCCTCATTGTTATCGTCGTCGTCGTCATCGTCGTCATCATCATCATCATCATCATCATCATCATCATCATCATCATCATCATCATCATGATCATCATCATCATCGTCATCATCATCAACAACAGCAGCATCGTCATCAGCATCATCGTCATCATCATCTCCTGCTGTTTCTCATCCTCCCCCTCATCATCCCCGTCCTCCTGCTCCTCCTTCCCCCTCCTCCTCCTTCGGCCCGCGCGCCGGCGCGCGGCGCGCGCAGGTCGCGCTGGCGGCCAGCCTTATCTCCGAGCTGGAGGAACAGCAGCAGGACCACCCTGCGGGCGGCAGGGGAGGGCACCCCCGTCATCCTCCTCCGCTCATCCTTCGCCCTCCTTCGCCGATCTCCTCCTCCTCCTCCTCCCCCTCCTCCTTCTCACACCCGTTTTCCTCCTCCTCCTCCTCGCACCTCCTCCTCCTCTTCCTCCTCCACCTCCGCCTCCTCCCTCCCCTCCTCCCCCAGGATGCACCTGCGGGGTCTTACCCCTAATCCCTCGTGGCTGCGGTCCTTCTTTAATGCTGCTGCCCCTAAGTCCTCCCTGTGAGTCTGCTGCCTAGATGCCCGCAACATTGTTGCTCCGATTGAGTCCCAGCTTGAATCCTCACCCTCCTCCTCCTCTTTCTCCATCCTTTCTCCTACAAAAATACTCCATGTCGCACCCCCAGACGTGTCGGTAGGGCGAGCTGGACGTTTCGCCTGAGACTCCCCCACCACTTTCGATCCTGCAACTTGAAATTTGCAACAGTTTCGCGGAAGGAGAGTGGCGCTCGCCTTAGCGCCGCGCAGGTTCGTCTGAAACGCTTGCAACAGGTTCACATATGGAGGACGGGTCGTTTTCAAAATGGTGTTCTCGCCTAAGCGCCGCGGACTATTTCGTCTTACTGCTATACAGCAGTTACACGAGTTCGTACGGTCGAATTCCTAGGAATGGTGTTCTGGCAGGATGAGGACTGCCAGGACGGACCAGTCACGTTGATTCGCAGTGCTCACTTCCCGTTAGTATCATAAATTGTTGTAGGGATCCATGAAGAGAGCATTTGGAGGTAGGCTGTATTACGAAATACGTATGTGATGCGTCTTGAGGTTAAGCTGGTCCTCCTCCTCCTCCTCGTCCTTTTCCTCTTCCTCCTCTTCCTCCTCCTCTTCCTCACCTGTCGCTGTCGCTCTCGGCCTCGGAGTTCGGATAGAACGCGGTCATCCTCCTCCTCCGCCTGTTCCTCCTCACAACCGTTTTCCTCCTCCTCCTCCTCCTCCTCCTCCTCCTCCTCCTCCTCCTCCTCCTCCTTACGCTTAGCAACATGACTCGGTTTTATTACAGTAAGCAACATGAGTCGTCAAGGGAGAGCCAACCACTAGTCGACACGAAAAGCACATGCCAGCCACTCCTCCTGCTCCTCCTCCTCGCCCTCGTCCTTGCACTCATCGTTTTCCAATTTCGTGTCCTCCTCTTCCTCGTCGTCGTGGTCGTGGTGGTCGTCGTGGTCGTCATGGTTGTCGTGGTCGTGGTCGTCGTGGTCGTCGTGGTCGTCGTCGTCGTCGCCGCCGCCGCCGTCGTCATCGTCGTCGTTTTCCTCCTCCTCCTCCTCCTCCTCCTCCTCCTCCTCCTCACCATCATCATCATCATCTTCATCATCATCATCACCATCATCATCATCATCATCATCATCCTCTTCCTTCTCTCGCCCCCACGCGGGCCCCAGGGATAGCCCGAAGAGGCCCTCCAAGGCCACCCCCTGGCTCTCATTTCTCTGTTGACCCCCGCTGCCCGCTCTGTTTCACTACATGTGTCTCTTCGTCCCTGTCCCCGTCAACTCTCATAGGCAGGGTTTCCAAATGGGCCAATGGGGATACTTGTTGGTACGTGGGCGCGCGAAACGGGTCGAACGCCAAGCATGCAGGGGCAGGCTGTGCCACCAGCTATATAAGCTGGTGGGGATAATTTGTTGTTGGTCGGCGGCTCCGAGGCGGCGGGCAGGGAGCGGCAGGCGTCGTCTGGGCCAGCAGGCGAAGCGAATTAGCTACAACAGGCAGGGCACCTGCAGTAACAACCCGCAATACACGAGTATGCACATGCAGTAGGCAAAATGCACGATTAAACGCTGCGGAAGAGTCGCCTTGTCGGCGCCAGTCCGCGCAGCCGGCCTGCCGAAAAGACTGATAGGGCCAGGGCGACACGCTGAAGGCTGAACCACTCTGCGCGAGGTATCACCGCCGTGCGCGGGCCAGGTAAAGACTGGGCAGGGACCTATAGAGCGCTCACTCCGATCCACACCGCTGCCCAAGGTGGGGCTGGTGCGTCCGCCATCGCGCCGAAGTCAGATACCTGCCGTCAGGTGGGGACGAGGAGACACGCTGAAGGCAGAACCACACAGTGCGAGGTTCTAACACCGCCGTACGCGGGGTCGGCTGTGGTACGCAGCGGGAGAGTCGCCCTGTCGGCGCCAGTCCGCTCCGCCAGACTAGCCGAACAGGCAGGTAGTACCGAAGCGACACGCTGAAGGCTGCACCACTCAGCGCAAGGTACCACCGCCGTACGCGGGAACGGCAGAAAAAGGGGGCGGGGGCCTACAGAGCTCTCACTCCACGATCCACTCGTTGCCCAGGGTGGGGCCGGCACGCCAGCCATAGTCTCCGAAACCAGTCACAGGCCCGGGAGCGACGATGGAAGCGGGCACTCAGGCCCATGCGCCAGTCCTGCCGCCAAGCGGGAAACGGCAGAAGGTCTCCGAAGTACGCTGCAGCCGCGGCCAGCACATAGGCACTGGGTAGTCAGACCCGAAACTGACCACAGTGAGAGCCGGGGGACGGCGAGTACAAGCAGAGCACTCACTCCGACACGCACTGCTGCCAGGGGGGGGCCACCGTGCCGTCACCGTGTCCGAAACCAGTAACTGGTCGGGGCTGCCACGATGAGAGAGGACATGCTGGCCCAAAGGCCGGTAGATTGCACTTGCAGGTACCAGCCACGATATTCGCCGAGACTCCCAGCTGCCGCGACCACCTTATGGAACGCTGGAACGCAGCAAGGGCTGAATCTGACCACGGGAAGGAGGGGGTGCAGCCAACAGCCGCAAAGGGCACATGTGTCGGTGAGGAGGAGGAGGAGGAGGAGGAGGAGGAGGAGGAGGAGGAGGAGGGGAGGCGCAGCCAAAAGCCGCATTCACATTTGGTTGACAGAGGAGGAGAGAGGTGCGGCCAACAGCCACACGGCCACATCTGTGTCGCCACTTCCTTGTCATCTGGCGGCCTCGCGGGGGAGAGACCCGCCACTGCGAGGGGTGGTACCGGCGCCTGTCCCCATGGTGGGTGGACAGCGCTATCCGCATCAGTGGGCAGATTAGCCACCTCGTGGCCCTCTCTAGCCATGTGTCATATAAGCAGCTCGCACAGAGCGGAGGACTAGGGGGGTTAGTGTGGGCTGCACACGGATCGCCGTCAGCAGAGTGGTGCGCAGGGGGAGGACTATTCCAGTCAACCACCCCCGGCCGACCAAAGTGGCTGTCGAGAGACAGCAGAGGGTGTGGAGCCCGGGGAGGCGGCTGCGGCTGGTGGGGATACGCGAAGCGTGAGGAGAGTCCATCGAAGCCTGCTAAATGGGGTCCGAATAGGCAGGGTCGGAAAATCGCGCCGCATCGTAATTGCATCGGCGATGCACCAGCACCATCGGCGCGGAGAAACTCTAGCTCCGAGGAGGAGGAGGAGGAGGAGGAGGAGGAGGAGGAGGAGGGGAGGAGGACGAGGAGGAGGAGGAGGAGGAGGAGGAGGGGGAGGAGGAGGAGCCGCATCGGCGATGCGGCGCGATCCCCCGACCCCACCTGCTCCGACCCCATCTAAGATGCCCGGGCTCCCGCCGTGGCGACGAGGGGTCTCCAGGAGGCGGCCGAGGAGGAAGAGGAGGAGGCGGCGGAGGAGGAGGCGGACCAGGAGGAGGAGTAGGAGGCGGAGGAGGACGAGGAGGACTCTTGGGGCCTTCTGGGACCCCATCCAAGAGGCCTGGACTCCCGCCGCCGCGACGAGGGGTCTCCAGGACGAGCCGTGGTATACCTTCTCCTCCCCCTGGCGGCCCGCCGTCCCCCCCACCCTCCGGCGGCGTCACGTCCAGCACCGGCGGGGTCGTCGTGGTCGTCATGGTGGTGGTGGAGGAGGAGGAGGATACGGAGGATGGAGAAGGGGAGGAGAATGAGGAGGAGGACACGGAGGATAGGGAAGGGGAGGAGGAGGAGGAGGAGGAGGAGGAGGAGGAGGAAAAGGAGGACGAGGAGGAGGAAGAGGAAGAGGAAGAGGAAGAGGAGGAGAAGGAGGAGGAGGAGGAGGAGGCGGCTCCTCCTCGGCCCCTCCTCCCCCGCCCCTCCCTCGCTCCTTCCCCCCCCCTGCGTGGTCCAGCACCGGCGGGATGACTGCTCCGAGCCATTCTCAACGACCCCGCGGGCGCAGAGCGTGACGTCACCAGGCCCCTCCTCCCCTCCCCCCCCGCCCCAGGTGACGTGCGCTAGGCTGGGAGGACAGGAGAACAATCTCCCGGCAGAAGAGTGGCTGGGGGAA